AGAGAGAGAGAGAGAGAGAGAGAGAGAGAGAGAGAGAGAGAGAGAGAGAGAGACTAGTCCCGCAGTAGTCTCCGACAGAGAACACCAGTGAACACGAATATGGTACACAGTAGTCAACCGGAGGGTCGGTCAAACTGAGGGGGGGGGAGAGGGATGTACAAGCTGAGGGATGTACAGGTTAAGCAATCCATGTGTACACACACATACACAGGTTGTTTGTACAACAACTGTGATGCCATGTGCTATGCATGTGTCGCATCATCCCTGATGTCTGACGTGGTCTGTCGTGCTGTGTGGGTGTGTATGTGTGTGGTGCCGTGGTCGAGCACTAACTACTGCGTCCCCTTTCGACAAGCCGGGGTGCAATGTCTCTCCCCAGGCTGTGGCCACTGCGCCATGCAGGAGGCAACTCAGGTTCAGTCCCCATGTCAGCGATGTTGCTAGCACAGCCTCTCTGTTCACCAGAACAAACCATGCCTTGCCGATACGTGACCATTTTTTCCCCTTCTTGCAGGATCGCATTATGGTGGTCACTGCAGCATACTACATGGCACCATCAGGTGTCGCCCCCTTGAACACCACACGTAGCACGTTGTGCGGATCGGGAAATACTCGTGCCAACCTCAGGATTGCATGTGCCCAACCTTTGGTTACTTGTCCACCCGCTGTCTTGAGATCGTAGTACACGTCATTGTCGTCGTCCGCTTCGTCGCTGCTGACGTYGCTGCCGCTCACATCCAYGTCAGACCCCTCGCACTCTTCCTTATCCTCCTCCTCTGCATCGACTCTGTGCTGTGCATCGTCTGTGTGCTCGTCCTCCTGCTGCTCCCCGAAAAAGAAACGCTCACAAGTCACCATATACACCAACTCCTCTGTCGATGGTGTGTGCAAGGTAGACACGTCAACCACCATCGCCCCGCTTATATCTTGTGCTGCTGATGTCTCCCCGGTTTCTTCAATGACCGGTAACCTTGTTTCGCTGACAATCATCCTGCAACCCTCTTCCCTTTCTCTCTTTCTCTCGACATCGCAGGTTGCAAGACCAAGCCGCTCCAGAGCACAACCCAACAAGGCCCCCCACAATGGTCTGCCACTAATGGTCTCCTTTCCTGCCAACGCGGGCTCAAACTCAATGACATCTTGACCCTGCACAACATACTCTGTGACTTCGTGCAACATCTCATGAATGACTTTCCTGTCGTCCTCTGACCTCCCCATGAGATCACATAGCTGGTCAAGCAGAACGTATTCCACACCGTCTGCAACAATAATGGGAAGCTCTTGAAAGTCCTAGGGCGGTGTTTGTGTCATGTTCTTGATTCTGGACAGCACTAGTATTTCTACAGCACCCCTCTTCAACTCGTCCTTCGTCCCTTCAACAAGCATGTCCCATCCCTTCGCCACACTCACCATGAACTTCCTGAAAGCCACAGGTGTATAGGTCCCCCCTCTCTGCTGCATTGACATGTCGACAAGTCCTTCGTTGCGCATGCCTTCGCTGCACATCCACTACACCACTCCTTTTAGACTGTATGGGCTGTCTTCCGCGTCGCTGTCCACACGAATATCAGGTGACTCTCTCAATCGTTCCAAGAGTGTTCGTGCCTGTACGCAACCACTGTCGTTGGCCATGATCGTGGATCTCATATCCACGGTAACAGCAAAGTACCGCGACACCCTCTCCTCCACCAAAGACAACTCGCCATGGCCGTTGTAGTGGAATCGCTCCTCTGCATACTTCATCACATCCGCGAGAGCCTTCGCCACCTGTGCTACCGACATCGACATGATGCAAATGCTTTGTCTTTCGACCTCTTCTCTCTGCCAGCGGAAACGCACAAAAACGTCATCGACATGTCTGTGTGTGTATGTGTGTGTGTGTGTGTGTGTGTGTGTGTGTGTGTGTGTGTGTGTGTGTGTGTCTCGGCCTCTGTTGCAAGGTTGGCTACTGCGGGCCATTCAGTGTTGCAAGGGTTATCGTTTGGCAGATTATGGCACGCAGTAGCTAACTTCAGGGCTGCGTCCAACAACGTGTGTGTGTGTGTGTGTGTGTGTGTGTGTGTGTGTGTGTGTGTGTGTGTGTGTGTGTGTGTGTGTGTGTGTGTGTGTGTGTATGTGTCTGAGA